TCCAATAGCAAGAATTCAGCCTTGTTTGAAATATCTTGTATTAAAAACTACCACAAAAACACTGCCTGGATTGGGAGGTTGGTGAAAAAATATGGGTTAAAAAAATCATCATGACTCGATGAGGAAGGATGAAAGTAATTTGTAAGTGCCTCTGCTGAGATAGGTGTTTTCCAATATTTTAACTCATTTTAGCAATTCAAAGTACATATACTCTCTAATAGCACAAAGGTGATAAAACTAAATTCCGAAATGGTACATCCTATGGATTTTAAAATATTAACGCTTTTATGTATCATAAAGAGTATACTGGATAGCTGCAAAACTTCTTGTTAAACAGCAAAGGTTTACCAAAGCAAATATTATAGTTAATTAAAAAACACCACATTTTTAATATAATAAGTCAATAAGAGAACTGAACCAGGACTCAGGATTGAAATAACGTAGTACTCCTTGAAGGTATCAAAGCCAGATTTTTCACCTCAACCTAGAAAAAAACACATGAAAGTATCAGTAAAATGTTTTTAAAAAATCAAAGAAATACTCAAATTCATAATAAAACCAGTATCCAACCAAGCTAGAACATACCAGTGTGGGAAAACCACAACCAGACTCAGCTCAGAGAGAAGATTAAGTGATCATACCCTGGTCAAAGCCAACCCTGAAGCAATGGCTATACCAGGTCAGACTATACTTCACTCATCATCGCATCATTGCATTTCAACTTGTATTATCTAAGAGTATTTTCACTTCCAAAACAACTTAGGTTTACCTATGAAAAAAATAAAGGCTTCTTTTTAGATAAGTATTTTATCTTCCACTCTGCTTTGGTTTAAGTACAGTAACTGCTGTACAAAAACGCAAATTTGAACAAGTTTTGTTTTGGGGGATCTTTTTTGTTTTTGAAATATAGAGGCAAGTGGGTAAGCATTTACAGTTATAAAACTTTTTTTTTTTAATGAGCCCAAACATCACGCATGATAGAATCTCAGGGATGCCTATGAAGGGATTTGTAGTCTAGTTCTAAAGCAAAAGGTAAATTCCTTTATAAAGTAAATTCTAGTTCATTTAACACATGTTTTGATTTATAATTATGCTGCACACAAAAATAAAAAGTCATAAATTTTTTATACCAGAATCTTCTATCTTAAGAGTCCAAGACCCAGAGAGGCTTTAATTCGCCAAAGGTCCATAGAAAATTAACAGCAGAGCTGGAAAGAGAACTGAGGTCTGATTACCAGATTTATATTTTTCCACTATTAGCTAAATAAAGGTTTAATTTCATTTTTCTCCAGTGCATGAGCAAGATAAAGGAAGCAGGATAAAGCCTGGATAATTCACAACCTGAATAACTTCTGAATGAAAAAGCTTATTGCATTTCATTTATTCTAAATGGCACCTAGTGATATATACAATCGCTGACATGCACAAGTACTAGGATCACAAGTCGCCCCTTCCAGCCTTTCAGCATCTAAATAACGATCCTGGAGACACCACATGCTTCCTTCAGCCATCCAGAAGTGTCAATAGGTAGATATTTCATAAAACTGACAGCTGTTGGTCTGTGTTGGCATTTAGCAACTAAACACCATAAAGAGGGAGAAACTAACAAAGTGCCTGTTTTACAGGCGTTATGCTTGAGCCCTTCTCTCATCATCTACGCAGGGCACACTTTCCTAATTTTCTTCCGTAGTACGCTTTGCTCCATCTGGAATGCCTTCCCCAGCACTTTCAATCTGGAGAACCCCTAATTATAGTTTTAAACCTTTACTCAAATGTAAGCTTCTCTCCGTTAAGTGGTCCGTTAACTCCCTCAGTCACCGCGTCCTCTGACTCCCACTTTTCCCCGCCACGACACGCATCACGCGCCAGTGACTCCCGCGCCCCGTCTCCCCGTCGGAGTTCCCAAAGGACCAGGGCTGTGTCCTCCTGGCTTTTGCATCCATTACGCTCAGAATGGTGCAGAGAAGGAGGCTCAATAAATGAGCGTTTACTCAGCCAATGCACGACCCTCCCTACTAAATCCTAAGCTCCTAAATGATAAAGGTATCTGCATAACTTAGAAAGCCGACTTACCTCCAACGTTTCACGTAGGTAAGGACCACACCTCAAGCATCTGTAAGCCCCCCACCCCCAGCTTCTACCTCAAGGCGCACTGAACGGCGCCCTGCGCCGGATAACCAATGATACATACAGGGGACCGTCAATAGTAAAATAAATAATATGGTCCAACTTCAAGAAAGACTTTGAAAAGCCGTCCTAGCGCGGAAACACGACTAAGGCCGGAGCCAGGGCTCGCACCAAAGACCCAGACAGGAGTCCTCGGCACTCTTCGGAACTCCTAAAACTCCTACGCCCTAGGCTCTCGGGAGGCTTGGCCCGGCTTCAGGCCGATGGACGGATTCCCGGCCTTCCGGTCCCCGGCGGTAACGGCTCCCCTATCCCACCGGCCGCCGCCTCCAGGCCCCGCTGGCTTCCCACCACCCAGTGCGATCTTCAGCGGACAGCCAATCCCGCGGCGGGTGGCGGGTCACGTGGGTGAATGGAGCCAATCGGAGGGCGAGGCGGAAGTCAAGGGTGGAGCGGCCCGGAGGGCGGAACCGCCTTTTCCATCGTTTCTTTGCGTGGTGGGCTCCATCTTCACAGCGAGGGCGGTCGCTGTACATCCTCAGGGCCGTTTCCGCCCGCTCTCGGACCCCAGGACGGCTGTTTTCCCGAGTGGTTTCGCCGGTGTCTTGTTTCACAACTGGGAAACGGTGTCGGAGGCAGTTGTGCCCTGGGTCCCGGGAAGAAATATTGATTGAGCGATCCAGCGTTGTTGATTGCGCTTCTCCGGAGTCCCGCGTGAGGGCTAGGGGCTGGGGTGGCCTGAGATGAATGTGTCCTTCTCCGTCCAGGGGGAACTTACTGGCTGGTAGGGCTCTTGGACGCTTCCTAAAATAAGCCAGAGGTGCCACAAAAAAAGTGCAGCTAAAACAAAGAAGTGTGAAGGACAGCAGGGAGGACTTCCTGGAAGAGGGGGCACTTGATCTGGGTCTTGAAAGATAGGTGGGGTTTGAGAATTAGGAGATTCTGGGAGAAGGGATAATTTAACTACAGAATTAAATGAGAAAGCATGGGGGAGCTGACCAAATTTAAAGTTCAAACGTGTACTGTTTCTCAAAAACTGCGGGAGGAAACAACAATATAGATGTCCTCCAGCATCGAAAACAAACCACGCACACAAATGCCCGGAACAAACCCAGACTTACTGAATCAGATACTCTGGGGTTGGAGCCCAGGCATGCATATTTTTAATATAAGCCCCACAGGTGATAATGAGTCACACCAAAGTTTGAGGACCAATGATAGTGTTAAAGAAAGGGAATGGTAGGAGATTTGAAAGACAGGTGAAGACTTTGTTTGGGATGGTGCTTGCTGGCTGTGTAGTTTAGACTACTTTGGAGAAAGTGAGAAAGATTTCAGATCCAAAGATGATAGATGAGAACTGTACTTTAGAAAATTCAACATGCAAAGGAAGGCAAGAGGGAAGCTATTGAAAGGGATCGCAGTGGTTCAGGTGAGAGCTAATAAGAGCCTAAGTTAGGACTGGGGCAGTGGAAGTGGAGAGGTAGCATATAAGCAGCATGAGGATTGTGACGAGTGTCAGGGATGGATAGAAGAACATGGGAAAATAAAAAGAAAGAATAGGGGGAAATGGAGGGTCTTTTGTACCAGACCTACTAAGGACCTCCGTTGTACTTGAAGGATAGGAGGTTAGATGGTGAAAAGACTGCCTTGCCCTGGCCAGGTGGCTCAGTTGGTTGGAACATTGGTCTATACACCAAAAGGTTGTGGGTTCCATTTCCAGTTGGGGGACATGCCTAAGTTATGGGTTCAGTCCCTGGCCAGAAGGCAACCAAGTGGTATTTCTCTCTCTCCTTTTCTCTCTAAAATCAATAAAAAAAGAAAAGAAAAATGCTTCAAGCCCAACATCTAGAAACCTTTTTTTTTTTTTTAACAAGAGACTGTGCCTTTGCATGTGCTGTTTTCTCTGCATCTCCATCTCCCTTTCTCAGCCTGGTGCATTCTTGCAGGTTCCAGTTCATATACCACCTCATTTATGAAGTTTTATCTTATTCTCACAAGCACAGTTATTGGCACTCCTCAGAACACCCAGAGCACACTGTTCATACATTTCTAGCTCTCCAGAGTGGTGCTATAGTGTAGTGGTCATGCATATGGACTATATTTGTAAGCATCATACTCAGCTAAGATTTCAACACCCTAGGTGCTCAAATGAAAGAGTGAAAGTTAGGAGACTTACCCAGAATCAGGTAGTGTGGCGTGGCAGAACTAGCATCGTCGCTCTTGGTTGCCATGTTCTCTACAGTCTTCGAATTACCTCTGAGTGAACTGAGGGTGAGATGGAGGTTGGTATTTGTCAGTTTGTGTCTAGTTTGCACAAAGGCTGTGCCTTAACTGTGCTGATCAACTGAAATTCTTAGTGAATAAATATATCTTAAATAAATTGGGGCTCTCATTCTTAGCTGATTGTCAACAGAATGGCCAGATCACTTTCCCAAGACCTAGGAAAAAGCACTGTCCAAGCTAATGTTTTCAAATTACTTTGTGTCATGGACATTTGCTTTGAGGTATCAGAACCAAATGTGACATCCTCCCTGGTGTGATACTCTATTTATAGTCAAGGGACTTAACTAAGGAACTTTGAAGAAGGAAGAAAAACTCTCTTTACTCATCTTTCATATTATCCCTCCTTCTCCTGTCTTGGTCTTTTATAGTGCACTGGGAAGAAAAAGGGGAGATACTTTGGTAGATTTCTGATTTTGAAGACTCCAATCCAAAACTTGAAAGGCAGAAACTCAAACTTGAAAGGCAGTGGAAGGAATAGGAACATCTATATTAGACAAACCTGGCTTTGAACTCCAGCTCTTCCACTTACTGGCAACGGAATCTCAGTTTCTTTGTAGTGTTAAAATCTCACAGCTTGGTTCTTTATACTCAAATGCACATGTCCAGTAAATGATGGTCATTTTTATCTTTCTCAAAGTAATATCAGAGGGATTTCAATGTGAGAGTGAGGCTGGGAATTAAGGATGGTGGTAGAACTAAAAGTGAGTCTGAATTTGGAAGTGAAGTTAATGAAAACAGGTTCAAGTTGAAGCTGAGGGTAGACTTTTGGAGTTTATGGTGTCACTGTGCTGATTATACATCATAGTATCCATTCTGCCTCCTATCCTGAAACTGTTTAGTCAACATGTACAAAAGGTAATGCCAGCAAAACAGAACTTCATAGGAAGGTAACCTCAGTTAATAATAATAATTTAAAAATAATAAAAACACCTAGGGATGTCCAGAAACCTATTTAAAAATGCCGTTTTATCATAAACAAATTGAAGTGGAGACACAGAATTGTTTGATGGTTCGATTTAGAAGAAGAGCATATTAGTTTTCTGTGGCTGCTATAACAAATTATCACAAACTTGGTTGCTTAAAAAACAGAAATTTATTTTCTCACAGCTATAAGTTTGAAACCAGTTTTATTGGGCAGGTATCAAGGTGTGGGCAGGGCTGTGCTCCTAGGGTGGGGATGGGAGCTGCAGGGAAGAATTCCTTCCTGCCTCTTCCAGCTTCCAGTGGCTGCTGCATTTCTTAAGTTGTGGCCACAGCACCCCAGTCTCTGTCTCTATAGGTCACACACCGCCTCCTCCTCTTTTGTGTGTATCAAATCTCTCTCTGCTCTCTCTTATGAGAACACTTGTAATTGGATTCAGGGCCCACCCAGATAATACAGGATAACCTCCCCATCCCAAAATTCTTAATCACATCTGCAAAGGCCCTTTTTTCTCATAAGGTAACATTTACAGGTTTATAATAATAATAATAATAATAATAATAAATAATAACAACAGGTGGCCATTATACAGTCTACTTCAAGAAGCTTTATCCAGTTTAACCAGCACTTCCAAATGAGATAACTGTCTCTCATATGTTTATTTATCCTTTAATTATAAAACAACTCATATTCATTGTAGACCATTTAGAAAGTACAAAAAAGGTGTGTTTTTTTTAAAGGAAAGAAAATTAAATGAAAACCATCTTTAGTCCTCTCACCCAGAGATAGCCAGCTTTATCAATGAGCATTTTTCTAGGCTGGGTCTTGTGCCCAACAAAAGCAAGAATAGGAAAAAGAGAATAAAAGTAAATAGAATGGAACAAGCAATTTGGAAAGAAATGGAATAGGTTAATATTGTTCATATCAGACATGTACAGAGCAGCCTAATTTAAAATGAATGGGGAAAAAAAAATGAATGAAGAGCATGCTGGCTGGTGTGGCTCAGTGGGCTGAGCGTCGCCCCATGCCTTGAAGGGTCTCTGGTTCGATTCCTGGTCAGAGCACATGTCTGGGGTTGCCAGTGGGGGGGGGCATGCAAGAGGCAGCCGATTGATGTTTCTCTCTCACATCGATATTTCTTTCTCTCCCTCTCCCTTCCTTTCTCTCTAAAATCAATAAAAACATATTTAAAAATAAAATATAATGACTGTAGAGCTTTGAAATGCAATTAACCAGGACAGGAGGTACTTGTATGATATATGAAAATGACACCCAGCCCTTAGAGATGGGAAGTTTAGCTTTGGCTCTCACTTGAAAACCCCTGAATCTCCCCATTCCTACCGAATTCACTACCACAAGTCAACCCCCAGCCTGCTAATCTGCGCTGTCATAGGCTTCTCTTGAGTGCTTATCAACCTTCCTCAGTGGGTCAATGTTATGAAGACAGGGGTAGTCTGGCAGGGTTCCTGCTCCTCCCAGGCTGATATCAAAGGGCCACAGGAACTGTGACAGAAAGCAAACATTCAGACCAAAGCCAGATGTGGAACTGAAACAGCCAGAGGAGAAGCAAGAATATCAGGTAAAAAAAAAAAAAGTTTTTTAATTTTAAAAACCTCATGCATCTCATTTTAGGTGCAGTTTATGTCTGAGGGCATGAAGGGCTTGGTAAAATAGTAGCTAAGGAGAAACTTGTAGAAGAAAATGAGTGAGAAATTTTGGGGAAAGTGCAAAGGATATTCACATGGAGCTAGAATCTCAGAAAACATTGTATTTATCACGGTTGTTATCAGCATTTAAGTAACATCAGTGAGATTTGGGAGTCATTATAGTACAGCTCTGCTAGTTCAAAAGCAATTAGATTTGTCCTGTGAATCCAGCAGGTGGAAATTATAGGGAGACAAATTACAGTTGAAAATGAGGAAGCCCTTTCTAACAGAGCCGTCAGAAAACAGAAGGGACTAATCTGATAGGCAATAAATTACTCGTCATTGGAGGTGTTCAAGCAGTTGCTGGAAAGCAATTTGTTGTGACTGGGAATATTATACGGAGGACATAAGAATCAGGTGGATGGTTGGACCTGAAGATCTTTAAAGTCCCTTCCAACACTTCTGTGAT